CCTCCGCTATTGCACTGTTGCATTGCATGCCAATCATGTAAGCAAATTGGTGGTGGTGGTGGTGGCGGTCTCCGATGAGTCACCGAGTCTTATTTCAGTAGTACACGGGAAAACTGACCTAGCCCACCCAACTCATCTTTGAATCACAATCATTATTTGGGTGATTTATAAAGAGTCATAGTCACGCTGATCCCAGTCAAATCATGGGAGGCTCACAAAGTCCTCCCCATTTTATTAGTAGGACACGTGTTGGGTACGTAATGAGTGATGATCATCGACTAACCCTTTATTACTGACAAAAAGCGCAACATTTACGAGACAATACAATGAAAATACCTTATTTGTTGTTAATGATTTTGATTTGTAGATTAGTGGTTTTATGATTCGAATCCTATGATATTGATACTATAGTAATGTGTGTGTGTGAGAAATCTCCTTGTCTTTGCAGTCTAGATTATCGCTTGTATTGTTACAAATAATATGATTCTATCTCACTGAAATCCATTGATTCATAAGTGTGTTTGTTGTTCGGGTGAATTTTAAGTTGTCAGTTTTCAGCAATTCACCACCTATTGCCTGCGTCATGCCTCACGTCAAGCACTGATGAATAAAGTTGGGGACCTATGTACTCACGGCCTTGTAAGTTGTATGATTTGGCTACGGTTTTCTTAATTTGTAGTTTTGCGTTTGAATGTTTATTGCTTGGCTGACTGCATTGATCTGCATTGATAAATTGGAATATTATTATCTCCCACTCCCATTAGTGTCATAGTGATGAGGAATATATCAGAAGAGAAAGACTTGCCTTTGTTTAATTAATGCACTTCCTTATTCAGCATTTCCAATAGTTATGTTTGAACTAGTCTTCTCTCTTCCTTCCTCTCTGTATTTGGCAGAAACGTGTTCATATTGATTTATGGCGCACGGCCACGACACAAAAGCCAATCCAGCAATTCTAGTTTGTTGATATATAGCAAAAGGCATAGAATGGTAAAATATTTAAAATATCATAAAATGTCCTTGATTAATGCAAATATTAAGAATTGAAATTATTAATTAAATGAGAATAATATGGTAACTTCACACTTTTTCATATTAAAAAATTAAAATTAAAAGAAAAATTAGATAATAGATCCTATTTTTATGGGACACAACTAGTAACTACCCATTATTTTTTTTAATTGTAAAATAAATATTTTTTTTTAAAAAAAATCTCTCACAGCGCGTACAAAGAGACTAGTATATATATAATCACATTTTATTTTGGACCAGACAATCTCCACCGCACGAATAAACCCAATATATTTTTTTCCCCTCATATGTTTGTATGTTTAATTAGTAATTTTCAATTTTCCCCTTAGTTGGTTTGGTGAAACAAATTAATGGGGCGTTTAATTAAATGGTAATCTTATCTTTGGCATAGGCTAACAGCTGCTTGCCAATAATTTTGCCAGTTCATCCCGCATCAGGTTTGCATTATTTCAGCATTACAATAAGACAAGTCTATAAAAAAAATTGTAAATATCAATATTAATTACTATACACATACCTGCCTGCCTCCTACATATCGTATATTGGTTTCGATGTCTTATTATAGGCCACAATTTGCCTGCCCCACACACTCTCTCTCTCTCACACACACACACACAGAGCCAAAATAAAAATAAATGATGTGTGTGGATGAAACAGTAAGCGTAACTCAAAGTTAAGTTTTACTCTGCTCTATCCTTCATTATTGCATTTGCCCTATAAATAATGGGAGCTTCGTGGGTCACTTAAAACTCAAAGCAGATGGAAAAGATGGAGGAGAAAGGCAACCATGTTGCGAGGAAAAAGGGAGGCTTGGTCACTATGCCCTTCATCTTTGGTAAGCTAATCACTAGCCAGCGGTTTCTTCTTCTTCTTCTTCTTCTTCTTCTTCTTCTTCTTCTTAATTTAATTATCTCTTAATTATTTTGTTTGTTTGTTTTTGGGGTTTTAATTAGTTGATTAATATACTAATGGAGATTGTACTGTTGTTCATGACTTGGTGGTTGTAGCTAATGAGATTTGTGAGAAGTTGGCTGTGGTGGGTTTCAATGCTAATATGGTTAGCTACTTGACAACACAACTTAATATGCCATTAACCAAAGCAGCCAACACCATCACCAACTTTGGTGGCACTGCGAGCTTGACCCCCTTGCTTGGTGCCTTCCTTGCTGATGCCTACGCTGGCCGCTTCTGGACTATAACTATTGCTTCCATTATTTACCAGATTGTAATTCTCCACCCTCTCTCTCTCTCTCTCTCTCTCTCTCTCTCTCTCTCTCTCTCTCTCTCTCTTATAGACACATAACATAAACATGAAGATTAAGAGTATAGAACATGTGAATGAAACACCAAAAGGAATATATCTTATCAATCATAGTGAGTTATATGGCTTATCGAGCGAGTCATTTTCAAGATCAACTACAGAAAAAAGAACATAGAAATTTGTTACCTTTTAAATGATTTTTCATAAAGGGTTTCCAAAAGAAAACAGAGAAAGTTGACACAAGCGGACAAGTTTAGTTAAGATTATTAATAGTGCATGTCCAGTATGATTGAGCTCAATTTTTAATTAGTGAGTGACATACATTCATCACTATTGTCACAATCAAGCTTGCAAAGAATTGATACACCAGTCCATTTCTTTTGTTATTAATATTATTAATCAAAGACTAATTCTTATTAACATTTGTATTTTCGTACTTAATTAAACAGGGCATGATTAGCTTGACAGTATCAGCAGTACTTCCCCAACTAAGGCCTCCCCCGTGCCAACACAACCAAGTGTGCAAAGAAGCCGACGGGGGACAGCTTGCAATTCTGTATGCATCTCTTTTACTAGGAGCACTCGGGTCGGGCGGGATCCGACCCTGTGTCGTGGCATTCGGGGCGGACCAGTTTGACGAGGCGGACGAGAAGCAAACCACTAAGACATGGAATTATTTCAACTGGTACTATTTTGTGATGGGGGCATCTATATTACTGGCTGTGACAGTGCTTGTGTATATCCAGGACAATATAGGATGGGGTTTGGGACTTGGAATTCCAACTATAGCCATGTTTATCTCAATTATTATATTTATAGTTGGGTACCCGCTTTACCGGAACTTGGATCCGGTTGGGAGTCCGTTTACCCGGTTGATACAAGTGTCCGTGGCTGCCTACAAGAAGAGAAAGCTGCCTTTGGTGTCTGATGATAGATTGCTGTATCAGAATGATGAACTTGATGCCCCTATTTCTCTGGGTGGGAAGCTTTTTCATACTAAACACATGAAGTAAGTCTTTCTTTCTTTTCTCTCTGTCTCCCACTGAAGTTGCATGCATATTTGTGGCTTATTAGCACTTTCACACATGTTTTCTCACATAATTATCATAATTGGTTTTATTATAAATTGTCACATAAACCAAACTTGGAAATTTTGGATAGCTCAGAGGGTTGCTTTTTTCACCGTCTGGCTAAATTGGCACAGAAAAGGAAGATAAAATATATATATATATATATATATATATAT